ATATTATTGCATCAGAATTGACAGCATCCTATTTTGTGCATTATTACTTTGTGCTTTTCTTAAGATGTGACTTATGGGCCTGAAAGACCTTTGAGAGGGTCAGTCTGTAAATTTCCCTTGGGTATCACTAAGCTAAGTTCAGAGTTATAAAGTCATTTGCCTAATTAATAGGTTATTAAATGAGATTACATAAAGCACAGTTGTTGATATTTCCCTGTAAACTCCCAAAGATTAAGCTAGTCTGCTAGATTAATAATAAGGAAGCAGTGATAATTATGCAGGTAAATTTTGCAATATCTCTGGGTCCACTCCTGTTATTGACCATGTTACCTGTTGTGCATGATTAAAATTCAGTGTTGACTGACAGTGCTATTATAAGCATTATTTATTATTGCATCAAAATTGACAAAATGACCTATTTTGCATCTTTATTTTCTGTTTTTTGTCTGTACATTTGACAGCTTTGCTGCCTTGTTATTGTTTTAAATCATAATTTGATGCAGGAAAACCACTACTTTCAGTAATCTGGATGAAAATAAAAGGTTACAATATCTGTAATCTGCATTAGCTATAAGTTTTGGGTCTACATGAGAAATGTGCAGGGTTAATTGCTCATAAGAAACATTGGTATTGCCTACAGGTACGATTGTCCACATCTGCCAACCATTTGGAATTAGTATTTATAAAATTGCTTCTAGTGGCAGGGGAATTCTTTAGCATTTGAGAAAATCATTATCTTAGTCCTTTCTGTTACCCTTACTAACTCTAATCCTTTTCCTACTGAAGAATGCTGGGTGCACACAGTCATTCCTCGAGAGAGGGTCGCATGCCACTGTTTTTCCGATTTTCTCAAGTGTTGTTGAGGAATAACCATTTCATCACGAGTACATTTTATTATTTAAATCAGAAATGGACTTTAAGTCAGATGTGGACAGTTTCTTGAGATTATACCAATGATCCAAACGATTTCAAAGCAATCTTGCTTTATTCCTTACTTGTTGTTCCACCTTTGATGTTAAGAGCAATAAAATGAATTTATTGATATTTAACTGTATATTATTTGTTATAACATTTTTTACAAAGGTAGACAGTTTTCCTGGAGGAATTCATGATAGAATGTTTTTCCTGGGTTGAAAGATGGTACTGATATCATATAAAATTGAATCCAGAATGAAGTTATTGAAGAGTATGAACAACATATTAATTGAACGATCTGTATCAATCTGCAATATAAGGATTTAAAAATAATCAATAAATCAGATTGGTAGACAGTTTTGGTTAACTCTGTAAATTCTGAGTAAATGGTGCTATTTGGTATGGTTTAGAACTATAATTCAGCTAGTCAAAATTCTACTTTCAAGAGGGGACCAGTGATGTTTTTTTTTCCTAGAAATTGAAGGCTGTTTAACAGTGCTACTCAGTAATTTCAAAATCAAACAAATCTATGGTTTGGTAGTCATAGAGCTGTTTCAAATGTGACCAAGGAAGAAATGAAGGAGAAAGTCTTTTGTATAATTGCAAATTTGCATAATAACTATTTGTTCTTTATCATTAAAAATGCATATTATACATACACGTGTATTCTACACTCTTCAATAATGTGACTGTACACAGATTTTCCGTCAGTTCACAAAACAAATCTTAGATTAACAAAATAATGTTTCACTAAATTGAGCAGCTACATATACAGGTACATCAAATGTCCCTTCTGTTTGCAATATAAAAGCAGCAAGCAAAACATCTATAAAAAGTGTACACATACTATGTATTTATTAAGAATACTGATGATCTGCATCACATGGAAAAATAAATGCTACAAAAATAATTTATATACTCCTAAATCTCCATCTCTAAATCAATCTGACTCTTCTGAGTTTCCTGAAAGTAATTTTTCACGTTTGTGTGAATGTGTATGTAACCTCTGTCATATTGTATAAGCCAATCTGCTCTGTATTCTTCCAAAATAGTGGCATTATAAAGATGCTTGTATTAGGCAATACTTATTACTTTTAACAACATTAGTGAGTATGCAATCGAAACACTATAGTACTTGGATGTAAAGACGCAAACCTAAAATTCTAATCTTAATATAAGAAGCAGTCTGTTACATTGTACCATTTGATGCAGTACAGTGTAGATTCAATTAAAAAGACATCAATACTGTCTCAAATTTAATACAAAATCTAATGGAGACCGTCTTCCATAAATTATAACCTGATAGCCTTGTTAAAACTACTACATAAACCGGTAGTAGCTAATATTTGAATATTTGATTAATTTTAAATATAGGGACAACGCACAAATATTTGTACATGTATGCAATATTGTGACATGTCATCATTCAAATTTTCCATCACTGACACAATCAGGTCTTTACTTCTTTTTTCAACCTCTTCAAGTACCGGTATATGGAATGCATGTCATAAAGTCATCAAGGAGAGCATATAACACTTTGCCTCCTTTTCTCTGAATAAACTTAGTTTTTTTATTGAGAAAGTCTATGGTACAAGCCGTCTGGTCTGTAATTAACAACCTATGTTTGCCTTTCCTAATAAGGCATGGTAAAGGGGACTCACCACAGTACTTACTGCCATTTCTCAGAATATACACATACTGGCATGACAGGAACTTGGCGCCATACCGCAAGATACCCTTTAACCAATTTTTTTTATCACACACACTAGCTTTCTGTTCCTTAAATTTTACCAATTATCCCCACAGGAAGGAAGGTATTTATTTGATTATTTCATGTGCTGGTGGTTTGAGTGCCTGATATACTTTTTTATGAGAGAAAGACATAAATTCTTAAAAAACATTTTCACCATGGAACCGAAAGTATTCATTACAACAATGAGTTCAAGAAGAATTCCTTTGAAAGTTATAAAAGCTTTCAACCAACTGATCAGAGAAATAACTTTAAAAATCTGTCAGAAACTACACTAACGCATGCAAATGTAAGCTACAAATCTGTACTAGTAAACATTTTCATGTGGTCATTTACTTTCTACACAATTTTCTTAAGTACATGTAACTCAAATTCTCAATCAATGTATTTTATGTAAGCTCTTCTTGCCACTAATGCTAAACAAGTGAGGACCCCAAACCCAAGGGTCCATTTCAATATCTTATGTCTCTTCACTTTCCTCTTCTTCTGTGGCCAGGTGGAGGCCGGACAATAGGCACTTTGTTTAAGTTCTTCTGTGGCTACTGCTTGTGGTCGGAGGTGGTAGAGAACCTTTAATAAATCAATTTTAAATTAAGTACCACTATCTGCGAGTAAATGTTCCAATACATTAGTATAACAATATATATATACTGGCTGCCTATATATATACATGTATATATACTGTATACTTTTGTATTCTTTAGTACATCAACATAATGTACCTACTCAATGGATTTGGGTTCATTATACATTGTGCCACCATAGTTAACATGATAAATGTAGTAAAGGCTAATAAAATATCTGGTTTACATTCTGTATCACAATTACCAAACAAAGAAAGAGAACACAAACTTTTATCAATATTTCTTGCTGCCAAATCAACTGAACATTTGAAAAATGGCGGTTGACAATTAAAACAAAGTACTGCAATTATCAAACTGTCAGATACATAATTTTATAATCAAAAAAATTATATTTTTATATAGCATTTGCAGAGCTTTTACTGTTGCACAGAATATAAACTAGCCTGCTTCTTAATTTTGTTGCTGCCACAAAATAAAAAATACAATACCTGTAAAATTCACATATTTTTTCCCATTGAAAAGATGGGAGTAATTTACTGTAGACACAACCACCAGCAGGAAACTGTTAATTCATACACAACTGTATATGAATGGTGAATATCTTTTTGTTTACCTCAATGGCAGTTCTAGTTCCTGCTTGCACAGCTCCATTCATGAAACCACACCACACTGTGGCCGACTCTGTCCCCCCAAAGTGGATTCTTCAAGAAAAGATTGAAAAAAACATAAGTATTAAATTTTTCTAGATACTGCAGCAGCTTTATTGAATATGTGAACTAGAAATTATCTCTGAACCTGTAACCTTTATAAATTGCTTGCCAGTAAAAGTATACAAATGGAAAATTCAGAAATCCTTGCCTAATTTATGCTACAGGCAATTCTAAAAATATCAGAAAGTTCCCTTAGATGCACATTCTAGCAAGAATGATACTACTACTAGTAGTAAACTTTACTCAATAGTAACTGTTTTTAACCTATTAAATGGTTGCCTTAGGCCTGCAGTAAAATAGGCCATGCATCCTGTAGTAGCTGGGGATACAGGTCCACCCAAAGTGTAAGGCTCCTCTCCCCAATTCTGTTCTACATAGTCTAGGCATTCCTCAGCTTGGGGACCTAAGAACTCTGCAATGGCAGACAACACTGCTGCCTTCCTCTTTGATGCCTGACAAAAAATAAGCAGAATTATAACTACATGTACCACTGGATCAAGTGCTAAAATAAAAGGGGGCGGGGTCATGCTGTTTTAAAAAAAAGGATGCAAAATATGCGTTGCTGTAAAATATAGCTACTTGCATCAACAATTTGCTATGTACATGTATACTAACATAACCTCTATCAAAACCTTGCAGTTTATTCAAGCATATACACTGTGTTTCTCTCTGCTTAAAAATTCACTGCAGGTGTACATATGCATGCACGTACATGTATATCCACATATCATTAATGAATTTATAAATTAAATTTATATTTAGAGAGTTGAATCCTTAAATAAATCCTTACGCTACAAAATATCATGAGTCAAACTTCTTTATAAGCATACAAAGCAAGTACATACTTCATCACAGCTCCATTTAACTGCCTGTTTGGCTGCCACAAAGCCAACCAAAGCAGGATTCCCATTTGGCGAGGTTGCATCAAACACCACCCCCAGGGGGCCATCTTCTCCTGTTTTAGTTCTGCCACATGTTACGATCTCCCCAGAGAAACCTGCATCCCGCCAAAAAGTCTAATGGACAAAATACCAAATAATAGCTAAACAATTACACAATGTATATTTAATTATTAATAATCAACTAAATGGCAGAAATCTCTGGGGCTGAGCACACACAGCATTAATTCGAGGCTAGAAATTTTAAGAAATTGACTGAAGTATGGATCATTTACGAGCCACTTACATGTAATCATGACTTAATTGATAAATCATGGCCGAGACTGATTGAAATGGTATGCGAAAGTCATGATGAGACCCTATGTTTCACATGTCTGGTAAACATTTACTGATGACATTTGACGCATTAGAGTACATGCACTAGTGTGTGAACAAAAATGTAACGGGTTAATTTTTCTCACAACTTTTGACCTCTGCTAATTAATCTAATGGTCCAATATAGTAACTATATATTCTATAATTATTAAGTTTTGAGAGTTTTTAAAGGCAAAAAAGTCACTGTTACATGTATATGCTTCTTAATACAAAAGTAAAACATACATTTTGATAAGTAATAATGAACTTCACAATACAACCAGCTGGCATTCTCTTGAACAGTTCCAGTTTTTCAAGAGGCAAACTAGGATTGAACTGCACCGAGGCTGAAAAAAAAAATTTCATATTTATCCAAAAGGTCAAATATTTAAGGAAAAAACTATAATTCATCCACTGACAGGTACTGGTCATACCGCAGGTACTACAAAATGCCTTTTAAGGCAATTATATTTAGCATACAATCATATACTTTCATTATCAACCTAAGTAATGAAAGAACAAGAAAGCTCCTCAAAACTTTAACATTCCATATTCAAAAGTAATCCCATCCCTGCATTGTTTTGTTTTTTGCCAGTGTTGATATTCAATAAAAAATCAATATTATATATGTAAATATTTCACTGAACTAGCTAGTTACTGGTACATCAGCATTAGTATTTTTAGAAAGATTTACTCAAAAGTTCACCCTAGCAAAATTACTAACATTCCTCTCCATATATACTAGAAATTTAACACAACACTCAGTTTTTCTATAAACAAAGAAAAAATATTTTGGGTAAAATTTTAAGTCATCTCACTTCAACAATATGATACTAAAGCGAACACTGTTTTTCCCAGTATGTGAACCAGTTTACCAGTATATACGTCACCTGTTTGTTGAGGCATCGTTGTAAAAATTGCTCTGGAGCACCTGAAAACATCCCCTGTAGTTGTGGTTATAAGTACTTGTGTGTCATCCTTCAAAATAAACATAAACAGAATTTGACACATCATTTCATTAGCAAGAGAGCTGATGCCAAATTAAAACACCTATAATCAGCAATCCACATTTTTTTTAAATTTATAACATTTTTGCATACCCCATGCAAAGAAAAGTCCATACCAACAACTTTTTGTGTTAGCAATCATTTCGTATCTTTACATTTAAATGTAGAAATCTTCGATAGGAAGCATGTGATCCTTTTGTACATGGGCATAATGATATCAACTTACTTGCGTAACTGTCATTACAGGGTTATTTAAATAAATATTTTGCTTTCCAACTTTTTCTGCCAATAATTGAGATATCTGTTGAGTTCCACCCTAAAAGAGTAAATTTAATTTTTTCACAAAGCATGTTCAATCTTTTATTTATTTTCAGAAAAATCAATCACAAATGAAATATATTATAAATAAAACAAAATGATGCCATGTAGATGTAAAAAAATTCACTAATGTATCAATCTAGTTATTTGAATTAGGCAATATGAATAGTGTTGGAAATAGTGTAGCCAGTTAAAGAAAATCATTAATGTAATGAATTTAGTGCATTTTGGACCATAAGAACATATAAAGACATATGAGCTAAAGGTTATTTTCAGTGGTAAATCACTATAATAAAAGGATTGCAATTTTCCTTGCTAGCTAGTTAAGTTTTTCAGATTGGCCAGTAATAACAACATATGTACTCAGTAATACCAGTAGCAACATTTACTGATAAGGATAATTAGAGTTTTGGAAGGTGAAAAAAACTTCTGAATAAATATCTTTTAAGACCTCCACCATTGTTCTCTACCTTAACTTTGAATTCCTGCCCTGCACCTTCAGAGGACTCTGTTAGAGCTTTAATCCCACCAGCAGCATTATTGTATGCCAGAAAATACAGCAAAGATATCTGAGAGCAGTCCACTCCAAACATCACTAGGACAGCACAATCTATGGCTTCCATAGCAGCTGGTAAAATAAGTACAACAAGTAATTTTTTTTTTTGCTCAAAAAAGTAAGGATATGGAATACATTTTATTTACTTAAAATTCCTAACTACTGTTTTTTTTTTCTTGTTTTTTTTTAAATAAAATTTTTAAGGACATCGTGTAGCAGATATACATTAAATTATGAGATGACAAATCTGGGGAAAATAACCATTATTCTAAGGTTTTTTGTTACAAAAATAATCATTCGTATAATGTTATCAATGATATATATACATATATATATATAAACTCACCTTTTGTCCAACAATGTTCTTGTTTAAAATCTTCTACAGTAACACTGTCCCATTCCTCAGCATACTGACATTTATATGGGTCTTCAATTGGAACTTTGGTACTCATATGATCTATCTAAAATATACAAAAAAAAGGTTATTGGTTTTCTTCATTATAGCATGCATTATAGGTGATTTCTTTTAAAATCAATTATAATTGTAGCTCAATGTACACCCTCAACTCCATCATATATTGAGGGGACTAGAAAGAAAAGTAAAAGCAAACAAAAATAAAAATGTTTACATTCAAACTTATTAATTCAAAACAAGTCTCCGATGTTTGGAAAAAAACTTTTTATCTAGATGTACACAAGATAATATACATTGATAGTGTATGTGCACATCCATTCTAAAATACAAGAACTTCCGTTACCTTTTTCAGAAAAAAATGAAGATCTAATAATGCCCAAATGGGTAGTGTTGGGATGTCTGATACATATGTTTTAATTTTGTTGTCCCCTAGCTTCATGTACTTCTTTCCTTTGTTGTACTGACTATACACCTCAAGGCCCAGCTCTTGTAACAGCGCCATTATGTGAACCTGAGTCCTGCAATATATTTTCAATCTGAATGTTCACTGAATCATGACACTAAGCCAATTTTCAAAGTTGTTAGTTTTTTTTTTTTTCGTTTATCACATTTAAAACATTAACCAAGTTACAGGATAGATGAAATAAAACAAATGTACATGTATATATACACTTGTATCAATCATTACAATTATTTACTGCTTATTTACATATTTGCAAGATTAAGATGTGTTTTTTATACTTATTTTGCGGGTGAACACATTCAAATATCAAGGACCTTCATGAACACAGAATTGTTTACACGGCCACTAAGGTACCCTTTTAGACTAGGAAGTATTATTGCAGTACTCCCCAAGTACAGCTGGAGTACTCCTGCAACCATTCCCGGAAGCCTATTTTGTCAGTAAGGGCAGTTACACAATACCAAGTGAAAGTTGTTGTTTCCTGGCTAATGTGCTGTTAATACTGTTCCCGGTATATGGACAAACAGATGTTTTACTAATTTCTTTTTGACACTATGAAAAAAATCCACTGTTGGCAGCAATTATACAATGCGGAATTTCAATTATATCGTAATTTTGCAGTCTCCTAAATTAAAGGACATAAAAGTCCTTAAAGTTATACATATCTAATATAAACAAATAATTTCAAGTAATAAACATGATTACACAATTTCTTTCTGAGTGATTTGTGTGCAATACAACCATCAGGCCACAAAAATGGTAGATATGATGATTCAATTTCTTTTTATTTATTTATTTATTTGTATATTTTTTTTCTCATTTATTTATGATCCCAAAATCCAGAACTCAATTTTTAAATACTGCATGCGCATGAGTCACATAAGGTACTAGGTATAGTACGTATAGAAACATACGGTCTTCAAAACTTATCTTGCCACATACACATACCTTCCTACCCACTGTCCACCAAGATCCCATACATCTTCTCCTCCTGCTGCTTTTAATGTTGTTGTTAAAGTGCGACCACCAACCCTATCTAATGGAACAATTATAGATAAATATTAAACTTGACATAAATACTTGTATGCATTTTAAGAATGACGTTTCAACTTCAATTTCAATTATGAGTCTTACATGAATTTTTCTTTCTAAAAAATAATAAAGTATTACAGGAATTGATAAGAACATGGCAGCTTAAATTGGTGCCACTTTTTATTTAGGCACTTTGATTAATGTCTGCGACTTTGTCCATGCACTAGACCCCTCCCCCTTTTAAGACATTGAATGTCCCTCCGACATCCGAAACCATTCAATCTTTTAAAGAGTGCAAGTTCACTTTTTGTACACGCTGAGAACGTACGTGCTTTAAAACATACACATTCGCTATTAAAGGTGACATTAAACTGTATTTTAAGTAACCCGAGAAAATAACATTTCCATTATCGTCTCACAGGATATGTGCACGATATTTGTATTGGTTACCAGGAAAACAAATCTCTAGAAATGTGCTTGTATATACGTGATAGCTGTGTGCCAAGGGCATTTCACAGGAAGCAAGTCACACGTTTTGCATTCGTTTAAACCACCTGACCGGGCCTAAACCCGAAAATCATGTTGACAAATGGCGAGAAAGTCAGAGTTGAAGAGACCTACCTTTTGCTTCCAGCACAGCAACGCGAAGACTGGGGTCTCTTTTTGTCAGTTCATACGCTGCACTAAGCCCTGACAACCCTGCCCCTACAACAACTACGTCCACCTCGACTGACGCCGGACTTGCCATCTTTTCATCGGTCTGCTTAAAACACCTGCATTGACAGTCAAAGTCCGCGGCCTTCACCGAAAGTAGAATATGGCGTAGCGCTATAAATAGCTCGACCTAGTTTATTTAATAAAACTCGAGATCGAGGTTCGGAATTCCCTAAGCTAACGTGAAAGAAATTGATGCGATGTGGACGTGGGGTTCGGGGCCCACTACAGGTCCCCGAAAATTCTGGTATTTAGAGGGCAAACGATGCCATTTGGTACGGTTTAGAACTATGATTCAGGTAGTCAAAAATTCTAATTTCAAGAGGGGACTATTGTTGTGATTTTTTAAAAAATCTAATGGGGGTCAGGACCCCCTGGAACCCCCCCCCATAATCCGCCTCTGTAATGGTCTTCAAAGCTTATAATTTAATTAATGTTAATTTAAGCTTTTTATCTCTTTTATTTATTTATTTATTTATTTATTTATTTATTTATTTATTTATTTATTTATTTATTTATTTCGTAAAACTTTCTTCTTGTATCTACCGTAGATCTATATATGACAATTTGGAATTGTAAGATTTTATCATTTCTAAGTTGCGACATCTCTTTAAGATATGAAACGTCCTCTACTGTCGCTTTATTGTGTGATATGGCATGCAATTAAAATTTTATATCATTTATATATTAATTTGAATTGTAGCTGGTCCTGTGATATTTTACGTAGTCAGAACTTCCGAAGAAGACCAGTTTCCTTCACTTTACTACTAAATATGTTCTCATCGAAGCACACATATCACGCAAGCGGCCACAATCAATTTGTTTCCGTTTTTATTAGAGAGCCCGTCAGAAGAGTCCAAATTCCAAAATGCAAATAAACCACAATGCCCACACACGGAGCCGCATGGATTTCAGCAAAATCGCACGTGAATCTCGATGCTGACAGTCCTTATTTAAACTCATAGGTAGGCCTACAAATGAACAGAAAACAACAACAATCTAAGCAGTAATAGTTAAAAGAATAAACCTATAGGAACAACTGGTTTATATCATGTGGATGTCTTGGATATTTGCATGCCTAGTTGGCCTAATTTTTGTGAGCTTTTCCAAAGCCAAGCCTGCCTCTGACATACACGTAGCTGGCGTTATTGAGTGCCCTACAGATGCCGTGACAGACGCCTTGGTCAAGATCACCAGCTGCTGGAACTATACAGTCGACAACATGCAAGGGACTGAGGACATATCGGGGTCTGTTCACGTGACGTGAGTAGCCTATTTTAAATGAGAAAAAAAATCTTTTTTTTTTGGCTGCGTGATTCTTTTGATTAAATATTTAAATATGATAAATATAATTATGTAGTATATAATGCTTATTATTTATTTAATGTACTAGTAGTTACCAATTAGTTGCAATTGTTTTATCGAAGGTCAGTTTGAGGCAATGTATAAATTCCTGCTCTCCTTACAAATCCTGCGCCGATTGATTTTTATATGTATATGGGTACATTCTTGACAGAATCAGAACCCTACTGTTTTTTTTTTTTTTTTTAATAAGAAACTTGTAATTTAACTGAAACAGCATTGATCTTTTTGTTTAGTTGCTCGAAAACACACATATTCTACATGTAGCTCTCACAAGCATGAGTAAAGTCACATCGCTCATAAGGATATTCCACTTTATTTAATTTGCAAAGACAATTCTAATTCCTCTTTTCAACAAAATATAGACAACACTTGTAACCTTTCCTCCTGTGAGAGTGCATCGCTTGGAGACAAGTAACCTCAATTCTATGCATATTAAGGATTTGAGAACATAAAAAAGGCGCCACAAACTAAGTTCATACAAACGATACAAAACCACATGCTTACATTCTTGATATGTTTATTGCAGTCTGGAAGACAACTGGGGGCACATTACGAAAGGGAGACCGGAATATCATCGTGTCAGTACAGGGGCTCAGTTCGGACGATACTGCCGCCAAGATCAGTTGGCAGTTACCTACGACGTCGCTGGTAAAGTCATTGCAACGGCGCGGTTCTTCATTATGGGCAATGTAAAGCAGAACAAGATGGAAACGTGCAGCTTCAGTGTCCGATCAAGTGCACCCAAACCCGTCACGTTGGAGTCACGCATTCTAGTGGGTAATGCAGGGGGAGATCGCTACTGGAAGGGGTTTGGACGTCTCTTTATGTAAAATGACTGGAAAAACTGTACGAATCACTGTAGACTAAGCACAAATTATTAAATGTTCAGAGGAAATGACAGATGTCTATATACTTGTACCTTGAGTCTTGTAGGGCTTTGTGATAAGGAGAAAAACAAACGTTTCAGGCACTATGTGGACTGTCTGGAAAATATTGTAGCATGCATTAGATGAAAACTACTTATTCTCAGAACCTGCTGCTGTTTAAAACTCTAAAAGTTAATAAAACCAAGCATTTACGCACATCAAATCAGAAAGAAAGTCGACACAGCTGTTTTGTAGTGTTCGTATCAAAACGTGTTCAAATTGATATTTTTTTAAACCTTAAATGGAAGCAAAAACTACGTAATGTAGGATTTTAATTTATTGTTAAGACGTGTATTGTGTAAAGTGGGTGCGTTTACAAGGTC